GGAGCGTTGCGCGAAGTTGTGACCCTTTTCCAAAATCGAAGTGACCGAAGTTATTAGAGGTGTTTCCGTTTGTTAGCTACGGCTTGGTTTTTCTTTGTTGACCAAATTTTCAAACCTCCTGGTCTGAATTTTGGCTGTTAGGTTATGAGTGGTTGCGGCGATATGAAAGGTGATTCGAACCGCAAGGTCAAAATGTTCTGCACTCAGTTTGTTGCCCAAGCGCAGATGTACTCAATTTGCTTGAAAACCTCGCGTTGTGGAGATTCTTGGAAATGACGAGACAATTACAGAAAATAATGCATTTTTTAACAAGATGGCGTTCTGCTACTCCATTAGAGGTATTAGAAAGAATAGGAGAACAGAGAACTCTGTGGAAGTCAATAAGAAATAGGCGAGTTAGGTTGGTAAGACACCTTCTCAGGCATGAAGGTCTAGTCAGAGACATTTTAGAGGCAGAAACGGAAGTTAGGAGGGTTACAGGTAGACCTAGATTAGATTACTGTTCGCAAATAGTTAAGGATATGGGTTGTTCTAGTTTTAGGGAAATGCGAAGATTAGCTCAGGATAGGAAAGAGTGGAAGTGCGTGTCCAACCAGGCTTACGACTGACGACCTTGTGATGATGTAACTTTATAAAACGGAATCTACCTCCTTAGACAATCGAATTGTGACTGCATGTGATGAAATAATCTGTGAAATACTGGAAAATGTTGAAGAGAATGTTGAACAAAGGTTTTATTACTGTGTGGAAGTGAATGGCTTGCAATTTGAACATTTAATCAATTTTAAATGTGTTTGAGAGCTTCTTCTTTATTTAATTGCACCTATGCTTCCAACTGAGTTTGCCACTACTTGGACATTGGTTATCCATCACAAAAGCAAATGTTAACAACATTAACGTATTTGTATGTTTATGAAATATAAGCTTACCTACATGTAGAAAATTGATCACTAGTTTGAAATTACTACCAGGTAATTCAATTCCAACGATAATATGAAATGCATACATTTTTATTGACAAAATGGCACAACGAGACAACGTCAGTGTAACTATCTGTTTGTAGGTATCTAATTTAATTAATAGTTAGTGTGGTGCCTTATTTTTTTAAACATTTAAATTAAAGTTGATGAAATCTCGCAATATCTTGTGTTCCTAATAAATGGAAACAGAGTTTAAAAAGTTGAATTTTGTGCATTGTTACGGTCCGAATTAGATAAAGTGTCTAAAATCAATTCTCTACTTTCTTACCTGCTGAAATCTAACTCAGAGTGTAACTTTTTATTAACGGTGCAATTTTTCTGAAATTGCATATTTCAAATAAAGATTTATCAGTGAAAACAAGAGTAACATTTCACACATTTTTATTTGAAAAACTCGATATTTTTGTTTTGGCCGAGGTGATCCGATTGCTAATCTCCAGAAAAGAAAGTTTTGTACTTTTTGAGGTATTTTAATGTGTATTATTTATATTATTAGTAAATAAGTTTAGCGAAAGTACAAAATTTGCATGTCCCTATTTCATTCAAAATTTTTAGTTCGTTATTGTACGAGACATGCATCAGTGCAGTCAGTTCAACTCACTAAAATATTAACATTTTCACCGATTTGCGTAGCCAAATTTTCCATTCGAGTATAGAGAATTATTATTACATTTGCTACTTCTTCTGAAACTATTTTTCCCGAGTCATTTTTAGCTGCTAACAACAAAGCATGCTAACATTGTAGGAGAGATATGTGATGTGTTTTAATAATTATTAACTTTGTTTTATTTGGGTTCCCCATCTTGTGAATTAGCATGCGGCAATGAATGTGAACAACATGTAAGAAAATAAGCAAAACCTCATTAGACCAATAGGTGTAAGCCACACCTATACACCAGCTAAATTACTAAGCATTCTATGCATGAGCTGTATGCATTTATTACTCTCAATATCCAAGTTGTAGGAGAGACATATCTTTACGCTTATTTAGGTTCCCTATCATGCGAATTGAACAATATGTTAGGAGATAAGTAAAACCTCATTAGAATAGAAAAATTTTAAGTCACATTTAGGCTCCACCTAAATTACCAGATATTCTATGCATCAGCCCTATATACTAAAGGCTCCTAATGCTTAATAACTTTCCATTAGAAAACTTTGTATAGATAGAGACTTAGAGATTTATCCTTCTATACTGGACGAGTTTGTGCCGATATCACCCTGGCTTAACAGATACGTCAGACTTCTTCTGTATATGGCTGGTCAAGAAGTGATTTTGCATATCTGCAGTAGACTTCCTGAAATTTTTACAGGTTTTGCCATCAAAGCGCACAACGGCCCGTCGATTGTTCATCTTACTCATTTAAAGGCCTTACATTTCAATAATAACAACAATTCGATGGCATAAGATATGTACAATAAATAAGCTCTACAATAATAATTGCCTCGAGGACTCATTATTTTACCTCTTTTTTTAAAACCCTTAGACCAAACAATAACTAATACCAGATAAATAACTTTCCTACAAAGCATTCACAGAAATGTCACTGAAACATTACTTACAATTAAAACGCTAAATGTCATCATTGTTACAAGAGAGAATATAGAACAACCTAGATAAATGGCATTCTCCAATGTTGTCACATTGGCGAAGCTTTTTCCGAAAATTGTCTGTAATTTTTTGTACCATTTACGATGGAGATGCACCTATTGCATGTGTGATTACCTCCATATTCAGTTTTTGCACATTTGGGCGAAATATTCTCAAAGAAGAATCACAAGGTGACCTTGAAAGGCAGACGGTCTCCTCTAAAGAGAGACGACATCCAGGAAACTCTCATAGAAATGCTTGAGAACGCTATGACTTCGTTTGGCTGGAATCCCTCTTCATGATCTCCAACAAACTGGATTAACTTATTTTTAGGTTCATCTGCTTGATAAAGTTCCTGAGGGTTTTCTGCTGATGCTATTTGCAAACAGTAATTAGTTCCTCCCTGTACTTCTAGATGTTCTTACTATCACTCTATATCTCTTTATATCTTTCCTTTTACCCCCTGCTTTCCTGTTTTTCCCGGTAACTCCTTAAAATAAACGTAGAAACTTAGAAGTCACATACGTATATGAAAGGTAATTAAGATAGGAGTCGAAAAATTAGAAGAAGTATTTTAGATTAAGATTTTAGGTATCTAGGAAGTCAGATAAGTCAGGAAGGAAGGTGTAATAGGGATATAATGCAGAGGATAGGGCAGGGTCGAGTCGCCTTCAATAAAAACTAGTCACTTCTATGCTGGCGAACGGTTAATTTAGAAATTTTAAATAGATTGTTAAAGGTGTATGTTTGGAGCACGGCGCTGTACGGGTGCGAAACATGGGCAGTGGGCGCGGCGGAAAAGAAAAGGTGAGAAGCGGTCGAAATGTGTTACTGGCGACTGATGGGGATATCGTGAAAAGAGAAGGTTAGAAATGAAGAGGTATTAGAAGGAATAGGAGAACAAAGGACTCTGTGGAAGACAATAAGAAATAGGCGAGGTAGGTTGGTAGGACACCTTCTCAGGCATGAAGGTCTAGTCAGAGACATATTAGAGGCAGAAACAGAAGTTAGGAGGGTTACAGGTAGACCTAGATTAGATTACTGTTCGCAAATAGTTAAGGATATGGGTTGTTCCAGTTTTAGGGAAATGCGAAGATTAGCTCAGTATAGGAAAGAGTGGAAGTGCGTGTCCAACCAGTCTTAGGACTGACGACCTTATGATGATGTAAATTTCATTATACAAAATTATCTATCTTGTTACATACCTAATTAATTTTATCTTTTGGCTGTAAACTTTTCCTTTACATAACTTTTTAAATGTGCGTGTTTACTATTAGTTATAACCGTGTTGCAAGATACCGAAAAGGTCCAAGGTCTGTAACGATGTATTTTTAGGTAAATANATGATGAGTGATGTTAATAGGTGCGTGGCATGCGCTCCGCTGCTATCTCATAACTGACGATCTGACCTTTCTAACCTCATTGAATTTAGACTTCGGTATCAATTTGATTTAATGGTAATTTTTCGAATTCTTAATAATTAAAAATGTATGGTTTTGCTATTACACGACATTACCGGTAACCGGTGCCATTATTTGGTACCTGGGTGGATCCTATGGTAAGTGCCGTATCGCCTGGTTACTCATTCCATTTCCAGTAGTAACTGAGGAGATACTGTAACTTATAATTAAAGGTATACTACACGGCGAGCGGCGAGTGGAGAGAAGACCCACTCACAGCGTAAACCCGTAAACTGCCCATGCTCAACATATTAGCCGGAGCGAGGAATCGGGGGTCGGTACGGGCTGCTGCGTTTTTTTTTCCCCGAACATTGTCATGTTATTACATGTTATTTCCCAAATTTGAAATCCAAGTGCCCGAATCGGAAAGCTCTCAAATAATTCCACTGGAAGCTAAATTTCGATTTTGTGGTGGCGTAAGATATAATCATATACATAACCACTCAATGAAATTTTTACTCAAAAAGTAAAGGAAACACGGAATTTTATCGTAGGGTTAAAAAAGTGCTTCGCACTGATGTGAATATATCAACTTTTAAAATCCAGTCATTCAATAAAAACAACATATAAAATACTTAACTATTGTTGTACAAGTGCCGCCAGTGTTTTATATTATTAGTTGTTAGTCGTCAAAACGTATGCACATTTGTTTGCGTAATTTATGGCGTAAAACGCGCTAAAAATAGCCGTCGAAGATAATTATAATCGAAGGATATTATTTAACATGATAGTCGGCAATGTTTTTAGTGTTTAATGTTAATTCGCCAAGTCAGCAGGCGGCCCGATAAATAAATAATCGTCCACTTTTGACAGTTTCGTTGTTCCGTTAAGCAGTAGGTCACGTTGGCGTTGAAATGTTCTCCGCACCGCGGGTACGTCGTTACTTACTACTAATAACAACAACAAAATCGGAATATACCGTTCGCAAGAATAACAACAAAAATAATAATAATAACAATAAGACAAGCAGCAGCGTTATTATTCCTACAGCTACTATTACTACTGCTACTACTATAACTACGAGTACTATCTTATTAAATCAAATAATATCGGGACCGCGTGTAATAATTGCATTATCATCAATGTTAGCGCCTTGATGCTGGTGACCGACCCCTTTCGAAGTCGTTTACACTGCAACGGGTCGCGACGATGTGAACAACGCAACGGTGCGTAATGTGTATCTTAGGTCGAATAAACAGTGGCGTGCGGTATGTTGGTTGTGGCTTTACCGATCCGAATGAGAACGCCTCGATGAGAAGGGATAATAAGATCAACGACAAACGGGCTTAGGAATAAATGGTCAGTAAACCAGTTTCCATGGAACTCTACAGTTAGTTATAGGTTATAGATATAGTACATATCTACGTATATTTATGTGAAGTTTGAACTCCTTAGAGACAGACTGCAAACTTTTTTAATAGAGCCGACTGCAGTAGGTAGCTAACTACATATGTATCTTCTTTGCGACCTCAACTTGTGGTCTCTTGTTAAAGATTGTGATAAATATTTTTGTATATTTGATATTCCATTGATTCAGGTAAACGACCTGTACGATTGTGCTAAATAGTACAAACATACTTTTACTGGGAAAAATACCAACTCATGAATGAAGGATTAGCACCTTTTTATGATGGAATGGTTTAGTTTTAGAGTAACTCCATACTCCATAAACATCAAATCAATTCTCTTTGGGTTACATTTATTTACCTATCTAAAAGGAGTAAGATAAATGATTCTAATTTGGCCTCTACTTGGCCACAAAGATATAATAACTAGAGTTGTGCCAAATGGTAGTTTTACTGCGTAGCGGATAACCGGGTGTCCGGCATTAGTTCTGTCGGGTATACCCGGCAGCGGAGACGTAAATGCGAAAAGGTGTATTATATATTACTTTTGTATGCATAACGGAACTTTATAATATTCTTTTACATGTATTTATTTTATTCAAAATTCAATTTAATTTTTACAGTGGTGTACAGTACAGACTGGGATGCACACTGTTACCGCTGCTTTTTAATCTGTACATCGAAGACGCGATCAATATCATCCTTATAGACAGTACAACATTAGTGTTTGATATACAGGGACAGAAGATTAGTATGCTTAGATCTGCAGATGATATAGCAGATTTGCATCTAGCAAGGAAGAGATAGCTTTAAATAAAATGGAAGGGGTATTGACAAAACAGTATTGTAGGAAAATACATAAAAGTAAAACAAAAAAACAGGTATGCAAGGGAAGAAAAAGTAGGGAAAGAGCGAATATAAAGATAGGAGACGAAGAAATAGACGTGGCTGATTTTCGGTACGTAGGATGTCAGATAAGTCAGGACGGAAGCAGTAGCAGGGATATAAAGGAAAGCAGAGCGGAGGGTCGAATCGCCTTCAACGAAAAGAAGTTACTTCTATGCTCGCAAACGGTTAATCTAAAAATTCGAAGAAGGTTGCTAAAGGTGTACATTTGGAGCGCGGCGCTGTATGGGTCCGAAACATGAACGGTGGGAGTGGCGGAAAAGGTTAGAAGCGTTCAAAATGTGGTGTTACCGGCGAATGATGAAAATACCNCATTTCCATTTACCTCCTTCTCTATATCCATACAAAATATCTATCAAACAAATAAAATTAAAATTTTCTTTTGAAAAATGAAACCATTCCATCAGTATTTTCTTATGACGTTGTCACGTTCAACTATCGTCAGACAACCGATTTTTTTTCAAATGGACACGATCTGCGCTCACCACCGTCTATGAGAAATAAAAACACAGAAATTAGCTAGGTTAAAATCAACTTAAAGGCTGCTCTAAATTCGCTGCTTTATGCTGGCAAGTAAGGGTGTAGAGGGGAGTGATGAGAGTTTCTGGAGTAGTGGACAGAACTGTCTCGCGTGATCCAGTTCAATAAAATGCAACGCACTCGACTAGAGGCAAAGATAATGAGTTTCGTCTATCGAGCTGCTGTTCCCCCTTTTTAAAACCAGCTTCATAAAAATCTAGACCTGTTTTCATCATTTCAACAAACTACAAAAAAAGACGTAATAATCGTCCTGAGAAGGTGATTGAATGTGAACAAATAGGAAATGCTCCTTCAAATTGTAGGTTGTTGTTAACCATCACTTTATTAATTATTGCCATTGTCGCCCATTACGATTTTTAATTGTTAGCCAATTGATAGGGTTGTTATTCTTTATTCTTTTTTAATTGTTGGTAGTGACGGTTCCTTGATTATTCCGGAGACTTCTCTGTCGTGTTTGTGTGTGGGTTCACAGTGAGAGTAATTTGTACGTTAGTGTCACGTATTCGCTCTGACTCAAGACTACTGCGGGATCACCTTCATCTGCCGGTAGGATGTCGATTTCGTTATTCCTCCGCAGTTCCTTAAAGGTCAGTCGCTCTTGTATTTGGGGAGTGTATTCTTGGTCATGCTCTTGGCTGTTTTACTCCTAAGCAAGTTGGCTGTTTCGGCCGGGCAAGAATTTTGCGGACCATTGATTCCACTGTATTGATTATGGATTTCTTGGATATGATTCCAGGTGTTGGAGCGTTGTGCGTTGACCGAAGTTATTAGAGGTGTTTCCGTTTGTTAGTTACGGCTTGGTTTTTCTTTGTTGACCAAATTTTCAAACCTCCTGGTCTGAATTTTGGCTGTTAGGTTATGAGTGGTTGCGGCGATATGAAAGGTGATTCGAACCGCAAGGTCAAAATGTTCTGCACTCAGTTTGTTGCCCAAGCGCAGATGTACTCAATTTGCTTGAAAACCTCGCGTTGTGGAGATTCTTGGAAATGACGAGACAATTACAGAAAATAATGCATTTTTTAACAAGATGGCGTTCCGCTACTCTATTAGAGGTATTAGAAAGAATAGGAGAACAGAGGACTCTATGGAAGTCAATAAAAAATAGGCGAGATAGGTTGGTAGGACACCTTCTTAGGCATGAAGGTCTAGTCAGAGACATATTAGAGGCAGAAACGGAAGTTAGGAGGGTTACAGGTAGACCTAGATTAGATTACTGTTCGCAAATAGATTTTGAGGACCATTGATTCCACTGTATTGATTATGGATTTCTTGGATAGGATTTCAGGTGTTGGAGCGTTGCGCGAAGTTGTGACCCTTTTCCAAAATCGAAGTGACCGAAGTTATTAGAGGTGTTTCCGTTTGTTAGCTACGGCTTGGTTTTTCTTTGTTGACCAAATTTTCAAACCTCCTGGTCTGAATTTTGGTTGTTAGGTTATGAGTGGTTGCGGCGATATCAAAGGTGATTCGGTCTTCGAGGTCAAAATGTTCTGCACTCAGTTTGTTGTCTAAGCGCAGATGTACTCAATTTGCTTGAAAACCTCGCGTTGTGGAGATTCTTGGAAATGACGAGACAATTACAGAAAATAATGCATTTTTTAACAANGATGCCAAATAACAGATCCAAAGGTTAAAAGCTCCATATCAACTCACTTATGCAATGGGACATCGACAGTTTATGGTCAAAGCCATTCAATGATCATATCAATAAAACATCTTACAAAAAGGAGCCAAAAGGTCACCAATTGACACCCGTTACGCGGAAGGTTAGGCAGGTTACGGCGGTTATACTAATTTTGTACGTTGGTGTCCCATTGTTTTCCAATAATTAATTATAAATTGGACATCAAAGAGAGCAATGTTTTGGCATCATGTTCTTTTATTAAAGCTGATAAAACGGCATGTCAAAAATTAGGGCATATAAAAACTGTTACGACTTTACTATTCATCTCGTATAGAAGAGAGAATGGAGGACGAAACAATTATTATTTGTTGGTATTGTTTCCTTTCATGTTCGTTCCACGTTCATAACGATCGCGTGAAAGGTCGTAACAAATAGCCAACAAACAATTTCCACAAACCTGTGTTTATTTCGCAACAACAATAACTTTTGATTTTGCCATTTAAAGCTGTTGTAAACGTTGGCGTAAGTGCTTACTCGGGTTGTATTTTACAATAAATTGCACTGCAGGTATATTAGGTACCTACGAACGTAATTGTTTCACATCATACATGCTAATCACAGATGTAATAGATTTGCCTAGCATACAATGATATTGAGGAGATAAAGCATGAAAAAAAATTGTTTTAGTTTTAAAGAATTTCTCTTGGTTTTTGAATACATCTCAAATTATAAATAACCATTAACGAAAGAGGTATTATCACCACACCAAGATGGACAATAGAGGCTCCTAGTGTCTGGTCTCCTAAAACGTCTTTTTATGGTACATTAAGGTTTCTATTGACAGAAACAAGGAAAACATGGGGATAAGAGCAAGTTTTTTTAATTTCTTATGGGAAGTTGTAAACTGTTACGAGGCGGTTGTATCTGTTGCAGTCCCTTTACTTAAAAAATTAATTTACCACTTCAAACGTTTTACGCTACTTAATCAGTAAAAGCAATTACTTCCTTTCTACACTTTTTTGCGCCATTAATATATGACAGTACATTAATAAAATAAAAAAAACTTGGTAAACATTCGTATACCTACGTGGATAGAATTTACAAATAAGGAAAGTTAAATGCGCGTCACGTCATGAATGTGATCAATATGCATCGAGCAGGAAAGCTAAGCAAATTGTTTAAACAATAATATTTTTATAAAACAATAAAATAAGTACTTTATTTACTGAGAGTAAGTTGTTTTTAAATAATTTCAAGGAGATCTTTTCAACAAATAGTATTGCGCTCTATTTTTATATAAGAAAGAGTTTATGAAGTTTGGTAGTTTAATAGAAGATTAAAGAAAAACATTGAAGAAAACTTTGGCTTATACCTCAAGCATTGTTGAATTGAATAATAATTGAGAAACAGTTAGGAAGTGTAGGACAGCTAATAAACAGTAGATTAAAATGAGGTGTAAAGAAGTAGAAGAAAACAGGTAAGCATGAGGTAGAACGGATGATGCTTAATAATATAAAAGTTTAAACCTTTGAGGATACTTCGTGAATAAATAATGAACGTTTCAACTTTATTATCACTATATTAATGGTTTAATAATCATAACAAAATTGTAANTTTGCACTGCTTCTTGAAAGTGTTCATTGAAATAACACACAGCAAATGTATTATTTTGCTATTCACGAGTCACAATTATGTTTTTACGCACAATTATTCGGCCAAACGTTGAGCTGCCAGTTTAAGCCTTTGAGGATACTTCGTGAATAAATAATGAAACTTTCAACTCACTATATTAATGGTTTAATAATCATAACAAAATTGTAAAAATAATAAACGAACATGAACGAAAAACCGCACATTTCGGGAACATGGCGCGAGAGTACTACTAC